GGGTATGGATGGTTGGCAGTACACAAAATACCTTCCTCAGAGCCTTCCCACTATTCAATTCAATCCTCCTCCATGGGGGGGGGGGGGTATGGATATCTCCTGGAGCAACTCATTCAGTATAATTTTTGGTGATAATTTATTTCTTGATCAGACAAAGATGTGATTGACGTGATAGGAGACCAAGGCCAGTCCCGTAAAACAGCAACACCTACTACTTCACTGTTCAACATAAAGGTACTGTAAAATAACAACAGAATATTTATTTCCCTCAGAGCTGTTAGTCGGTAAATTAATCTGATGCATTTACCACTCCTGGGAGGACCTTGTAATGCCTAACAGGCCGTGCGGCCCAATTGTCCCCTTCACAGTTCCCTGCGCCATCTTGAAAGGTAGCTGTGTCTTTGCATCAAGCGAGACGAATGGTGTCCTTGCAATGATAGAGACCTTTTTTAACACCTTGGACAATTATTCACATTTCTCTATCACTGCAAGCTCACCGTTTGTCTCGCTTTGATGCAAAGGCACGGCTACCTTTCAAGATGGTGCAGGGAACCGTGAAGGGAACTATTGATATGGCAGCCGGTGCAGTAGATCAAATTAGAATTTAGAAGTTGATTTTTGTGGAAGAAGGAAAGACCAGAGAACCTGGAGAAAACCCTCAAAGTACAGGCCTGGTTGTACGAAGCCTGGATAGCACTATCCAACGGATAATATCCTTATCCAGTGGATAAGTCAATGCTGTTTTCCAATAAATTTATCCACTGGATAAGATTTATCTGTCAGATAGCGCTATCCAGGCTTCGTACAACCGCCTCCAGCAGAGAACCAACAAACAATTCTACTCACATATGACACCGAGCATTACAGTGCTTGAACCCAGGTTGTATTGATGAAAGGCAGGGCATTAGCAGTACACACCACTCAAGCTTCCCCGTTTTAAGGGATGGTATTAAACTTTATTGAAGCAAACACATGTTAACTTTGGCAAAAATAACAGACATCCTGATAACGCACATCCAGTCAAAATTATGTAAAGATGTCAAGATTGCAATGTGTCAAGATTTTTGGTTCTTCAAACAAAAATATTTTGACACAGGTCCCAGTTGTTCAAAGCCCGATTAGTGGGCCCGATTAGTCCAGCTTTGAACAACCCGGCTCGGGTAACTTTATTTCTGTTTTCTGATGGCACTCGCTACGCTCAACAACAAAACAACAACTTAAAACTAAGGCATTCATTGTAACACAAATTTGTCATATTTTAAATATTGAAACTGTGAGCTAAGCTCAAGCTATCCATGTCTGTATCCTTACAACTGGTTGATAATGGACTGTCAATAGAGTAACAGGGGATATCTACCAACCACAACCAGCAGTCAGATATTATATCTTATCAATAATCTTTTGTAGAATCAAGATCCAGTAAAAGAGGCTGAAGTTGACAGTGATTTGTTGAATGAGGAGTTCCCAGGATTCAGGTAATCATTGAACTTTGGCCTGAAAACGTTAAGCTAATTTACTTGAAAAGGCAAAAGAGTAATACATGCTTGCAACAGTTATTGTGTAAAAAGTTGCCAGTAAATTATCACATTAGATAGAGATTTTGTTTGTAAATAAGGACTCCCTCAAAGTGAATGGTAATACTCAGGTTTTCCATCCACGGCAACTTTATTTAGTATAGACATATTTTAGAGAGGTAGAGAGGGTGTCACTTACCTGCTGCAACTCAAAACTCATGGCTCTCTAATCCCCTCCCCTCCCCCCCACATCCTCTTGGTAGTGTATTTTCAGTGCGCTTGATAGTAAATAGGTTAGCTTATCAATAAATGTGTTGCCATTTTTAAAGTTTAGTACGACATTTGCCTTTTGGAAAAAAAAACTCAGCTGTATCAAAGAAAGTAATCCTCATTCTGTAAAAACGTAAGCCCCAAAGTAGCCACGTGTGACAAGTTCATGTGACTTACCGATAATCTGAAAATGGTTTTTGGCCCTTCCACTCCCCCCCCCCTCCCCCAAGGCAAAATCCTGGCTAAAAAAATGTGGGAAAAAAAAGAAAAAAATCCTAAAATAAGTATGATATCTAATACCAGGAAACCAGATGAATTGAATTATAAAAACATTGAAGTTGTGAGGAAGAAGGGTGAGCGAGCAAAACTTGGTGGATTCTCCTGTCGTGATTGTGAACAGGTGAGTGATTGATGGTAATCACAGTTACTGAATATGAAGATCCAGGAACTATCTATAACTTTCAATATACCCTCCTCAGATCCTCCCCACCCCTTGGAAATTCCAATCCCCCTCCATGGGGGAGGTATGGATATTTTCTGTAACTACACAATATACCCTCCTCAGACCCTCCCCACCCCTTGGAAATTCCAATCCCCCTCCATGGGTGAGGTATGGATATTTTATGGTACTACATAATATACCCTCCTCAGACCCTCCCCACCCCTTGGAAATTCCAATCCCCCTCCATGGGGGAGGTATAGATATTTTCTGKAACTACACAATATACCCTCCTAAGACCCTCCCCACCCCTTGGAAATTCCAATCCCCCTCCATGGGGGAGGTATGGATATTTTATGGTACTACATAATATACCCTCCTCAGACCCTCCCTACCCCTTGGAAATTCCAATCCCCCTCCATGGGGGAGGTATGGATATTGTATTGTAATTTGTTCCAATCATTAACAATCTATAATGAAATTCTTTCCTCAGTACTACGGTGAAATGACAGAAGAAGAGCGTAAGAAGAAGCTTAAATATTGCTCACGTCACCGAGCTAAATGCTCCCCACCCCCCTCTACCCCCCCTGGATTCTGGAATCTTAGTTTTCCTAGCACACAAGAGGTCATTGAAGGAGGAATGATGGTGGTGGGGGATGATGTTCCTGTACAAAAGCCAAGAAGACCAAGGAAAAAACACATGTTAAAATCAATACCTAAAAAGGCATGACAAACCATAGAATGGTGTATTTAAAGTGCATATGACACGAAAACATTTTAATCTTAAAAATGTGTAGTCTATTGGCATTAATAAGAATATCACGGTTAATTTTGTTTCAAAAACGTATTTCTCTAGAAATTCAAGAAAATTTAGCACAAGTTGTGACGTCATTTTGTTTACAAGTCTCCAGATCTAGTTGCAAATACACAAAATATGTTTGAATGTAGAATCTTAATTTCAGGTAGTACACTTTTCAGTTTCCCAACATTTGGAGAGTACTACGTAAGCTATCAAATGAAGCTTTTGTTGTTATTTTATATGAATTACAATTTATATTTAGTGCATTACTACTGAATCTAGAGGACGTGTCAACAAAATGACGTCACAAATTGGGCTTAATTTTCTCAAATATCTCAAGAAATAAGCTTTTGAAACAAATTTCATTACGATATATTTATTATTACTAACAAACTATACATTTTAAGCGATGAAATGTTTTTGTGTCATATACACTTTAAAGTGCATAACATCCTTCTAACACAGCACAGCATTAACATATGGCGTGGAAAAACCTTTGTAACTTGAAGAAGCCGATTTCAAACTATGAAATTTTTTCGGGTTATTCAACATCCTACCTCATGTAGAATCATAATACTTTGAATAGAATATTGTCAGAAAGGTGATAACGTTCACCGAATCCAAACCAACATAGGAAAAGTTCCTTTGTTTCTTGGTCGCCTCACATTTGAATGCTACCAGACCATCAAACAAAGAAATAATGCTCAAGGGAAAGACCAGGTCTGAAATGGGAAAATATTGCACACAAAGCAGAGTGATTTGACTTAATGACCCATGAAACAAACATTCTCGGGAACCCAAGGTTAAAATTCTGCCGTTCCTTTCTCACTTCCAGAAAAAATACCCCTGGGCACAAATTCTTTTAAACTTATTCCAGAAGTCCAAATTAATTTCTTTTCTGATTGGTCCACATCAGTGGATTGACCGTAAGCATCAAGTATAAGTAAACAAACGTGATGGCGTCATTTTGATTCGACTTGACATTCAGAGCAAGATCTAACAGACTTTGTGCCCATGGGTGTTTTTTTCTGGGAGTGAGAAACGAGTGACAGAACGTTACCCCTGGGTTGAAACGGAAAAATGTAAAATGAATGAATAATTTTAAAAATATCTTAATAAGTGCCTAGTCATTCTAGTGGCTTTGCACTAATTGGGGGACACTTTTCACTTAAACAAGCTACCACTACATTCAATATCCTTAATTTCACAGGTTAGAGTAAAACCACTCCAAAATTCACTATTCTCACTTCTCTTACATAATCCATACGTGGAGTACTGTCTGAAGTACATTCTGAAGTACTGTCTGATTTAAACCGCCACCCGGTTAGCTCAGTTGGTAAGAGCGTCGGTCTGTTGTGCGGGAGGTCATGGTTCAAGCCTCGGCCGGACCACACTCAGGGTCTTAAAATAACTGAGAAGGTGCTGCATTTGTAATTACAACTGCAAATGGTTAGACCTTCACATGGCTCAGATGATCACGTTAATGGCGGTCCGTCTCTAATTAACTAGAGACGTTAACAGAGGACCACGAGTTTATCAGTCGAATTACTGTCAAGTGTTATCCTCTAGAAACAAAGTTAATTATTATTATTGTTATGAAGGTATATATGAAGATAAACTAAGGTTATTTTTGTAATATATTGTTTTCTTGTTTTAGATATGTAAATACCAACCATTTCAAAACGTTTTTACAAAACTATTGTGCACAATATTAGTAAAGGAATTTAACCTGTGATATATAGAGATATAACTTCATGGAAAGTGTGAGTTTACAGTTTTTATGCACAAGTTGTGAAGTATCATGGAATGAGTGAGTTAGTCTTCAAGCAAGTGAGTTTTATAATCGGAAATAACGAGTGAAGAAAAGCTGTATGAATAATGCACATAATGATGAGCTACCTTCCCAAACAAACACTGAATATAGAGACATTTTTTCCTTTAATTTTATTATGATTGACATCTGTCGTTAATAATGACAGATGTTACCATTGGCAACAGACATACTCTAACTTGTTGCTTTTGGCAACAGATATGCTCTCAATTGTTACCATTGGCAACAGATATGCTGATGTACTTGAAAATATTTGTAAATACCAACTCCTTATTCCTTCAGAAGTTCACTTGATTTAGCTCTTGAGTCACTTTTGAATCGCGTAACTCACTTCACCCCAAGCTAGTATGTATATACACAAATACATAGCTATTATATATACATATACATATACATATACGAATAGTATATTAATATGATGCACATCATTATTTTCTAGTATTCATTTATTCTTTCCAAGCCTCTGGTTGTGTCTTGCAATCATATCCTTTAGTTCCTGATCGTCACTGTCTGATGCAAATCTCTTCGGCATCTGTGGTGCAGCGAAACATGACCGCCTTTTTTGTTTATTTTGTGCCGCAACACCTACACTCTTGGTTAACCCAGACGATTGCATACTAGATCCTGGGTCTGCAACACATGATCTTCGTTTATTTTTCAGACCAGGTTGAACATCTTGTGTGGTAGCGTTGCTCTTCAAATCAGAAATAGAGCTCTTAGAGGTAATGTTTTCAGCAGGTGCCGCAGTACATGTACTAGTTGATGCTTTTCTTCCACTTTCAACAACATTGCTTCTCTTTGCAGTTCCATATAATGTCTCTTGCTTTTTTGGATCGGCAATGCATGACCTGCGCTGTTGTTTTAGCTTCGTATTGACTTTTATTTCATTGTGTGTTGTACTAGAGGAGTGCCTCTTTTTTCCAACTGTTGTACTTGAAGGAACTGATCTTCTGCTTTTATTCTTTGCAGTACTTGGCTTCTCAGGTTCATCTGACTGTTGAGTAGTAGAAAATGTGTGAATCAATGTGCAGTTTGATTAGATTATTAAAGTTTGTATGGTTGATGTTAATCAGCAGCAGAAAGTCCTTCAATGGGGCAGAAATAAATGGTTTATTTCTTTAATATTGAAGAAATAGAAAACACACACCAGTGCTGTGTGTAGTCTGTTATAAAGCAAGCAGACTTGGCAAAACAGAAGAGAAGTGTTAGGAGAAGCATGATTGGCAAAACACAAGGGAAGTGTTAGGAGAAGCATGATTGGCAAAACACAAGAGAACAGTTAGGAGAAGCATGATTGGCAAAACACAAGAGAAGTGTTAGGAGAAGCATGACGTGTAGTGGAATGCTTCCATCTCAACACTTCTCAAGTGTTCTTCTAATTAACTACACACAGCACAGCAAGAAATTTTTAAGAATAGGTTTTATAAAATACAAATAAGAGTAGCCATTATTTTGGATATGAATGACAAAATAGAAAGTGTGTGTGTGTGCTGTGTGCTCTCATAATGCATGCTCTCTCATCCAATCACAACACTAGATTCATAGCAGGTATTTTAACAGTATTATAACAGATACTTTGTAAACTAGGAGTCACTATACATGTATACAATTACCTTGGTTGGGGCAGCGCAGAACGATGGGTTAACAGTCCTAATCCTCCGTCCATTAGAATCATATTTACATTTAGACGCCATTATTCTCTGGTTATGTAGCTTTAGGAGAGCTTCAGCAGTCATTTCTGTGTTCGTTTCAGGTTTACTTTCTACACCCTTTAAACTTGGATTTACAAAAGCCATTTCTTCTTGAATCACAACTAAGTTGTTTGCATCTGCAGAAGAACTTGTACTTATCTGATCTTGTGTGACAAAGACCTCAGAATTATCACCTGTCTTTTTATCTACTTCAGCACCAACCACCGTTGCTACAGATCTTCTTTGTATTCGTCTTCCATTGCAATCATATTTATTTCTGGATGCCATTACTTTTTGATTGTGTTGTTTGAGAAGTTCTTCCACACTCACTGGGCTTTGGTCATTCTTTGTTGTATCAGTACTATTAGCGTCAATGTTCTGTCTTTCAGGATTTGATAACTGCTTATTGATATTCAAATTGTCTGTAGCAGGGCTCTTATTCTGTATCATATTTAATTCTGGCACAGAACTATGTGGAGATTGGTCGTCTGACGATGATGTAGTTGTACCTCTTAAGGGTAAATGTAAAGGGATTTCCTGATTCTGAAAGAAAAATATATATAAACGTATATATATTCATGAGGGAAAGTGAGTGGACATGCCTGGGGTATTAATGTAAAGAAAAGTGAAATTTCTTCAGCCATAAACGTTTAATATCCATATATAATTATATGAAGGAATGAAAGAACGAAGGAATACTTATACAGAACTGTATAAAAGTTGTTTTATGAATTGAGAGAATATGGTTGCAAGGAAATGAAATGGGAAAAAGGAAGAACAAAGAAAAAGGAAGGATGAAAGGAAGGAAAGAGGGAGGCAGGGAAAGAGAGGAAGATAGTACTGTAGGATTGGGTGAATTAATCAATATTTATTTTGCAAACAAGTTACAGTACATAAAGCTTGACCAAGGTCTACAGTGCGAAGCCCAAAACTATGACCACTGATAATGCATTCCCACACTTTCCTCTCAGCATTCTACCAATCAGCATTGCAGGATTTGTTTTATATTATCTCCGATCTAAATTCTAATTTGAGGATAGCAAGACAAAAGTAAGCAAACATTATTAATGATCGCAGTTTTGAGCAATCTCGTACCCAGAGCCTGCCTTTCTTCTGGCCTGAGGTGAAGAACGAGGGCTCTGGCATAATAATTTTTTTGACACGTACAGTTTTCTGGAAGTGAAATATAATCAATGGAAGTCATGCTTTAAAACAAAGTTCTGTGTTTACTTAATAAAATAAAAATTGAAAATATCGGGAACATATATTTTTTTATTGGCAAGTCTTTTAACGTATGCACTCTTATACCAGAAGTCCAAGAAATCCTGGTCTCAAAAAATGGATTATGCCAGAGCCCTTGTTCTTTGCAGTAGGCCAGAAGAAACGCAGGCTCTGGGTACGAGATTGAGTTTTGAGCTTTGTGCAGTAATATTCACCTGTACATTATGATTGCAAGGTATTGTAGGTAGGATTCTCCTCTTATAGTTTGTCCCAGATGCTTTGTTTACTGCCTTAGCCAACAGAGTGTTCTTGGGAGAGTTAGTGGATGGAGACATTAATGGACCACGTAAAGGTGAATACAATAACGCTGTTTTGGGTGATATGTCTGTCTCTACGTTTGTCCCTGAGAGCAACGAATTTTGATTTTTAAATTTATTGATTTCATATGCATTATTTATTGGAGGTTTAAAAATAAGGTGCATTATTGTCTAGCCTGGGCATAAACACCACATACTGTAAGACATGATGAACAAAATGTTTGTACACAAGCTACATGTAGAACACAATGCACCTTACTTGTTGACCTCAGAAATGGTCATCAAGTAGCTCTAGACTCCTTGTGATCCAATTGTCTAAATACTGACTATTGACTATTTCTATACAGATATATGTTGCATAGCATACATTGAAACTAACGAAGTTCTCTAGAGGTGGTGGGTACCAGGAATTCCCCCCCCAAGATTACAATCCTTTTTATAGTTCTGTTCAGTGACCGCAAATAATATTTTCCAGTCGAGACTGGAGTTTCCATATATTGCAACTCCTGCCTTGGACTGTAACTATTATTCTTGGTCACTGAACGGAACTGTAAAATGGAGTATTGTTTTGATCTCATGCCTTGATATGGAGAAGGTAAGACGTGATAAAGATCTAGAGTGTTTTGAATTGGCAAAGATATGCCTGGTAGGGGAAGATGACTGTTTGGAGAAAATTTCATTTTTTGGTGGGGACTACAGACATTGGAGTACCTATAAAGCACAATTGGTGGTTTTCACAGCAGCCATTTTGGATGAATTTGACAAAAGATTTGTCATTAGTCTCTTGTTATGTCATTCAACATGGCCACCGTGTCTTTTGTTATTTCATTCTCTTGGGAATAATTGAAAACCAGCAATTTATAACTATACAGAGCTAAAGCAGGCTTACCTGGTCTAGCGGAAGGAGAATTAACGCCCCAAGGTGGCGTGCAATTAGTATCATCACTAAAATCATTTCTTGAATTCTTATCGATCTGTCCACCGGATTTCTGTTCTTTGTTTTTTAATCCCTCGGATGAATTTCGACGCTTCAACCTCGTCGTATCTGGGAGTTTTCTTCGCCTTTGACCGTTTTCTCCCCTTCTTAACTGTACTGTCTTTCTAACTCCAAGGGATTTTTTGCACTTTTTATTTTGATCGGTTTTTTTCGACCCCATTGTCTTCTTCTTATTGTCAGTTTGGATTTCATTGATCTCGATAAGCGGTTTGAGTTCTTGAATATTTTTCTCTTTATCTTTTGGTTCGTGGAGAGGATGCTCTCGCTCAAACCAAGAATCATCCAAGCTTGATCAAATAAACACGATAAAACATCAAGATAACAACTTAAAAATGATAAACAATTTTTCAAAGTCGCCTACCATTCCTCTTCGTCGCCATTTTCTTCTTGAGCAAAGTCATACCACTTCGGGCATTCAAACTCATAATTCGGATCAACATCCATGTTTATAGACAACAAAAATAGCTCAAAATCATTAAGCATGTACTAAAGTACTGATATGGTGAATAAAGGAGTGGTTTTGAACCATTCTAAGGTCATTTTTTGGCTTTTAAAGTCAAGCATATATTTTTCGATTCGTTTTTGTTTCGAAAATTGGCGCTCATCGGTCTGAGAGTCTGGAACTAGCATGTAAACGAGGCTGACGGCGGCCATCTTGAAAAACGTGAAGTCTTCGTTTCTTTTTTTTTTTTAAAGAAAACTCTTCAATCTTCTTCAAAAATGTCTTTATTAAACAAAAAAAGAAAGCCTTTTATAGGTGTATCGGCACCTCTTGGATACGTACCAGGTCTTGGTAGGGGGTGAGTGTTCAAATTTGCACTTCAAATGCACACATTTTTGAAAGTCGTAAACTTTGTTCTGTGAAATTCTTTAGTATTTCTAAATGCTTTGCGTATCTTTAGTCACTATTACCAAAATAAATGGGAAATAATATAAGAATATAAGGAATTTAGATGAGTATTCTTTACATATGGTTTTGTTTTGGTCATATTCAGAGCTACCGGTTTTACGACTCGTTCTGATATTGGTCCAGCCAGAGAAGCTACAGATATCAGGTATTTAAGCTTATATATTTTTTTCCTTGTTAAATTAATGGAATAAGTTATTATACAGAATACTGGTCTTTAAAGGTATTCTAAGTCCAGATTTTTGGTTTATGAGGCATGAAATTGAAGCTGGTGCTGACAGCCTTGACTAAACAATGACACCTACAGCCCATATGTACGCTTGAAATATTCTTAATACCTCTATTAGTCAAACATTGCTCCATATTAATTTTGATTTGCTAAACACAGTCTTGTTAGTCACTTGCCTCTCAGCTCTGGGGTCTCATGTTTGATTCCTGGACTCTGTATCACATGAGTAGAGTGTGTAGAGGCTCTTCCTTGATTTGAGGGATTTTCTTTGGGTCCTCTGGTCTTCTTCCTTTCGCAAAACCTAATTCCAATGCAAATAGAGTGTTGTGATCCGCCAAGAAGTTGTTCCAGGCTTGGATCTATAAGTTAGTCATGTCCTGACTTAGATCAGCCCAGAGGTTGTTTCAGGGTTCTATCTGTGAGTTAGCCATGCCCTGACTTAGATCAGCCCAGAGGTTGTTTCAGGTTTGATCTGTGAGTTATCCATGCCCTGACTTAGATCAGCCCAGAGGTTGTTTCAGGGTTTGATCTGTGAGTTAGCCATGCCCTGACTTAGATCAGCCCAGAGATTGTTTCAGGGTTCAATCTGTGAGTTAGCCATGCCCTGACTTAGATCAGCCCAGAGGTTGTTTCAGGTTTGATCTGTGAGTTAGCCATGCCCTGACTTAGATCAGTCCAGAGGTCGTTTCAGGGTTCAATATGTGAGTTAGTCATGCCCTGACTTAGATCAGCCCAGAGGTTGTTTCAGGGTTTGATCTGTGAGTTAACCATGCCCTGACTTAGATCAGCCCAGAGGTTGTTTCAGGGTTCGATCTGTGAGTTAGCCATGCCTAGATCAGCCCAGAGGTTGTTTCACAGGGTTTGATCTGTGAGTTAGCCATGCCCTGACTTAGATCAGCCCAGAGGTTGTTTCAGGGTTCAATCTGTG